GATAAGTTACTAAAATTGTTTATACTTGTGATGAGGGGAAGTCATTTCTTTATATATTTCTTTTATTTTTCTTTACTATATTCTTAGTTTTCTTTCTTTTCTATTTTTCTATTTATTTTTTTCTTTTCTGAACCTTCTTTTTTTTCTTTTTTCTTTAGTTTGTATTAGTTTTATTGTTGTAATTGTAATTTTTAATAAAATTACTATAAACAAAACACCAGCAGGGTGGGAGCCATTCAAATCTTGGGGGGGAACTTCATTCCAGAGGGCAGGCGCTGCTACAGAGATGGCTTTAATACTATGGGAGACAGGTGGTCCCTCAAGTAACCATGCCCTATTGTGATGGAATCTATCTACAAAGAGGAGGGTGATGTGAGAGATCAAGGCTATCGGGAAGGAGGGAATGCATTCCAGGAAGAGAAAGGAGACAAAAGACAATACAGTCTTCAGGAGGAGAGTGGGAAGCAAAAGAGATTCAGGATAGCTACTCCCTAGAATCTCCCAGGGTATATCCACTTCTTGCAGTAATATAGATTTAGTCTGACAAATTTTGTCTATAAGGTGTAAAGAAATAAAGGAACTTTACTCAGCTAGACTGTTTCACCATTGTTCTTGGGCTGGGCTTAACACCTATGCTGTGTAGAGCTTTATAGGTAGCGACTAGCACCTTGAATCGCACTCGGAAGCAAACTGGCAACCAGTGCAGCTCACGAAGCAGAGGTGTTACATGGGCATACTGAGGCACGCCCATCGCTGCCAACACTGCTGCATTCTGGAGTAGCTGACGCGTCCAGGTGGTCTTCACTCCTGGACTGACACACTGGGAAAGACTGTTGGGAGAATGTTTTGTTTGCCTCTATGTTCTAGAAGTCAACAAGACATTGAGCAGAGCTGCCCACTAGATCTCTGAGAAATTCCCCAACTGGAAACCAATTGGAACTATTAATTACCTGGAGTGGACCAACTGAATGGGTCCATCTACCCTACAGATGGCAGTGGTGGCTATCAGCCACAAGGTGACCAGTGATCTGACCATGGCTGAACAGATATTAATGACCTCCACCCTGAAATCACACAGTAGTTGCCCTTAGGCAAAGACCAGATATATGCATGTCCCCCAATGTGAGTTGGGACCATTATGACCACCCAGAACTCATATGGGCAAATCTCAGACAGAGGAATTCCTGCATCTTCACCCAGCTTTTGGTAATTCAATCCAAGTCCACACTCTCTTCCATCACAAGGTTGAAGAGTCTTATTATCTTATTATCAAGAGATGTGACAGACAACAGAAAACACAACTTCTAGCAATCCAGGACCTAGAATCCAAAACTGATGCTGAGGGGCTGAAAGTAGGAATTTTAACATTTCCTGTCTCACTACCTCTGTAATAGCCCCTCCCTTGCATCCCATCATAATGTCCCTTCAGAAAAGCTCTAACAATCTGGCTTTTCAAACAGGCCAGGGTGATTTGTGATTCTCACTAGTGGATGATGAGTGGTTGGAACCTATGTGCAACTTTTTGTCCCTAATGCATTGTAACTGTGTATCTGGTATTGTATTTTTATAATGTTATAACTCTCCATACTGCCTTGAGTCTTTAACTCAGTCAATCAATGTATCTCCCTCTGCCCAGGGCTACAACGTTCCTCCTCTTACTCTCCAGTCCCCTTACCCCTTACATGATTTCTCTCAAACTCCATTCCTCGCAACTTTCCCAATGGTGTATCCAGGTAATTCCCCGGGTATTTAACAAGTACAGGTAGTCCCCGGGTTAAGAATGCCCGGTTTAAGGACGACTCGTAGTTAAGAACAGAGCCTACTGTAGCAAAATTTGAGTTAAATACACAATGATTTGAGTTAAATACACAATGATTTGAGTTAAATACACAATGATTTGAGTTAAATACACAATGATTTGAGTTAAATACACAATGATTTGAGTTAAATACACAATGATTTGAGTTAAATACACAATGATTTGAGTTAAATACACAATGATTTGAGTTAAATACACAATGATTTGAGTTAAATACACAATGATTTGAGTTAAATACACAATGATTTGAGTTAAATACACAATGGTTTGAGTTCATTACACAATACTACTTATACAGTATTATACAATAATACTGTTCCAGCTTACATACAAATTCCACTTAACGACCGACCTTGGGAGTGGAACATGTTCTTAAACTGGGGTCTACCTGTACTCCAACAGGCTGGGTCGTGGCCATTCCCCAATGAATCTTCCATCTCCTTGAACTCCTCTCATGAGACTCTCCCCCTCAGGTGTCTCACTCCTGGGTATAAGGCAAGTGACCCACCCATTCAACCCCTGGTCCTCCTGCCCCCACATCCTTGTAGGAAATGTTCATCTAAGCCACATATTCCTTCCTTCTTCTCCCCCAACCCCACTCAAGCTGCCTCCAGGCAGACAGGCCCTAAAGTTACCGCCTCTATTGTGGTGTCAGTCCTGTCTCCTTCTTTGTCCCTCTTCCTCTGTCTTGGTCACTGGGTCCACTAGATTGGGGAATCAAAAAATGCCCCACAAACAGGCAACCACAAATACCTCCTGCACTGCTGCCAAGGAAATCACATGGATACATTCATGGAGTTTTTAAAAAATCCAGGACGACTGATCAAGAGAGAACGCTGTAGCGATAGATAATTGGCTGCCTTTAATAAACACTTCTCTCTTTTTTGCCCTAGTCCCTCATGGAATATGATCAAGTTCTCATAGAGTCCTGGGGTTCCACAGAACACAGTTTGAAAAACCCTGCACTAGGAATAAAGACTTCGCGCTAGGAATAAAGACTTCCTGCTCCCACGTGCAGGAGGGACCTCTTGCTGAAACCCTAGAAAAGGGGAAGCTTTATCCATGATCGTTCCCATTCATGGAATATCTTGCTGCTTGGAGCTCTACCTCCAACTCCCTCAGTTTTCAGGTGTAAAGATAAAGATTTGTCTTTCTTTCCCCCTTGGCTTTCCCTCCTTTAGCTGATTTTCTGATTTTCACCCTTCTGGCTGTCCGGTATTCCAGCATATACATTTTCAGCATATTTTATCCTGTTAGCCAGCTAAAGTGCTTTTTAAGTAGAAAAGCAGGATGAACTTAACAGATGAAACTAAATTCACATTTACATACCATTGCTAACCATGCGCCTGGCTACTTCCCAGAGGACTAGTCCAAATGCCCAAATATCAACTCTTTTGTAGGAGTCAAAGCAGTCCACCTGAATGGTTTCATCTAAGACTTCTGGGGCCATGTAGCGCTTGGTACCCACACGGGGGTTGTTCCCAACATCCAACTGATTGGTACTTTGAGAATGCATGACGGAGAGGCCTATAATTACAAAGGGAAGAGTTACTGTGAAACTGTCTCCTTTTTCATTCTTTTTCTTGTTTGTAATTGTTTTAGGAGGGAAAAAACCTTGAAGAAGTTAGCTGAGTTTGCTGCATAATTTCACAGGTAAGACAAGTCACTGATACGGAAAGGAAACAGAGAAACGAGTCTCAGCTCATCTGTTATCAAATCACATATATTTCAGCAATATAGTAAGTGTTTATCATCCAGAAAGCAGGCAGCCTCAGGTGGAAAAACAGAAAGATAACAGCAAATGCAGCAATAACTGAATAGCCCATGGGTACCCAGCCAGAGTTACCACTCTGAAAAGAAGTTTAAGCAAGCCTTGGGCTCACATACTGCTCTCTCCTAGCGTGTGGTTATAAAAAGTTTAAAAACTTTCCTTTTAAAATTAAATAGCATTCACTACATGGCTCAAACTCCAAATAAATAATGTAGTGGAAAGAAGCAGACTTCAAACCACAACTGATTTAAGCTGGCTTGTTTTCATCAACCATGATGAATTTTAACTATAATTTCTAGTCTGGATGTAACATTACTATGGTAAAAAGAAACAAAAGAATACAATCTTCTTACAGAGAACAGGAGGAAGGGAGAGAGTCCATATGCTTGTGTCTTACCACAGCTTATTTTAATCACCCTAAACTGGTTCAACATTGCATATTGTGTTGTTATAGGCTTTAAGGAAGCTGGAGTAGGGCTTTTGAAACAGAAGTTCATTACTGTCATATAAAATGCTCATAGGGAATTCAGGGAGTTGAGGTCCAACACCTGGAAGACACCGGGTTGGGAAAGAAGTCTCTTGCGGCACACATTCTAAACTCGGAAAACAGTACAAGATGCATCCATGAGCAGTAAGACTTTTGGATGTTAAGTGCCCTCTAGTGGATGCTAAAACTTCATATACCGTATTTTTTCGTTAATAAGACGCCCCCATGTACGAGATGACCCCCACTTTTCCAACCCAAAATTAAGAAATCAATATTTTAAAGAGAGTGCAGAAC